CTTGCATAGCCTGAAGGTTACAAGGAGTTAGAAGTCTTTGTTTCCTTTTAAAGTTATGTCTGTAATCTAACTTTGTTTAAAGGGATTGGTGAGTTTTTTTCTAGCAAACTACAGGTAACAGCCACTATTTACTAAACAATCTAAAACAATGGGTGGGTATGCATTTATAGCAGAAAGCACAAGATTCACACCCATATAGCCTAAAATGTGAGTTAACCTATTACATTTCCCAGTTATTGCAACATTTTGGCTCCAGGAAAGCCTCCTCTGATTTCCACAGTGTCACTGTTTTGGGTCAAGAGGACAGGAAGCCAGAGATGGTGTCACCGGGTGCTTGGCAGCTAGAAGGGCGCTGCTTTCTGAATGCAGACCGAGAGTGGAGAGGTGGCGCCCAGGAGGCCTAAGCGTGCACTTAGGGGCGAGGCACTGCAGGGCAGGGCGGCGGGGAGCAGCTCTGAGTCCCATTTCTATGCTGGGCGCCCGGCTTGAGCCTGGGTCCTGGGCACCTGCACGTGCTGAGCGCACTCCTTCTGGGACCAAGCCCTCCCCGCCCGAGTGCAGCGGCACGGCAGGGTTAGGGTAGCCTGTGCCTCCAGCTCAGCCTGAGGCGCTTCCTTCAGTAGACGGAGTGCTAGGATATCACATTGTTTCTCTTCTGTGAGAAGCCCAGAGCAGGGCTGGGAGATAGCGGTGGGCAGCGTGAGCCTCTACGGGTGGCCGAAGGTCCCAGGTTTGATCCTTGAGAAGCCCATACTACAGATAGAGCGAAATGGAGGCCAGAGATTAAGAAGCTGGAAGGAGTTTTTCAAATGGGAAGGGGAACAAGAGATGGGAGAGGGAGAGGAGGGAAAGAGGGAAGAGAGACTTAAAAAAAAAAAGGAGTTGAAGAAAAAAAGATGGAAATAGAGCTTTTGTAAGTGGAGAAGAAAGGTTGGTGAGGGGGAGGAGGGGACAAAAGTAAAAGAATTAAGATGTGTTATGTGCCCATACAAAGCCCACGTCAGTGTGATTGTTATGTACTGCAAACAGGTGCTAATAAAAAAAACCCTTTAGAAATGGAAAAGAAAACAAGATAAAACAAATTAAAAAACCCCCAGCTAATTAAGCAGTTTTGAGAAATCCAGTTACATACTGCTTTGAAAACAATGACGGGGAGGGGCTGGGTGAGGCTGAGACAGGAGCATCACTATGAGTTGGTGCACATGAGGTCCTGCGCCAGATAAATACAGAAGGGAAGATTAAAAACATGAGCAGGAGGGAAGGCCGCAAGTGGCAGCCCACCCTGTTGGCGAGGAAGCGCAAGCAGCACACGTGATCGTGCAGTGCCTGCTGCTCAGCTTTGTCTCCTGCGTCCTTTGGAGGCGGCTGGCTTGCCAGGTGGCTGGAAGCTTAGGCTAGCTGAATGCTTCAAATCCACGCTCAGTTTTCAATAGAATCTTCCCCGAAATGTTGCGTTGAGGTTTCATTTCCAGAAAGGCAAGTTGAGAAGAAGTAAGTAAATGCAGGAGATTAGAAAGTAAGTAGAAGGGGCTTCCAGGAAGGAGAGTCATTTAGCTAGAAGGTGGACAGCAGCTCTCTGGGGTTTCAGTGCGGCGTGAGGCTTTGGTTCCCTGCCAGATGTAGCATTCTGAAATTAAAGAATTCAGACACTATTGAGGCTCATCAAGATAGATTTTTAAATTTGCATTTCTTTTGAACATAGAAGCTCTTTACTTGCCTAGAATGAACTACCGTCACCCAGGTAAAGGTTCGTCTGTGCCACGCAGTTTTCTAGGAGCGGTGGACGTCACCTGCACAAGATAAGCATCGTCCCTGCAGCTCGAAACCTAGGTCCCACTGGGGTCGTGGGGAGGATGCACATTCGGGCCAGATAGATCTGTGGGATATCGTGGAACGGAAGAATGAGCTGCGTGTTATGGTAGCTGCAGGAACGCCTTAGGCCTGGGGATGGCTGCTCTGCTGTGTGAGCTGAGATTTGAAGGGTGAGGAGAAAGCAGGGAGTTAGGGCTGTAGGCCGAGGAAGCAACACACAGGAGGGCCCTAAGATGCCGAAGACTGGAGTGTGGCCGGGGTGGGGGAGGGCCGCTGGCCTGGGCGTGGTGCGCAAGGAGGGGGTGATCTGAGAGGGCCAAAGGTCTGGCTGCCCTACCTGAGGCTGCTCTTAGAGGTCGAGTTATCCAGTTCATGTTATTTTGCAGGTGAAATGCCCCATTTAAGGTTAAAAGTTCTGGCTGCTCAGGGGGTGAACATACAGTTGGCAATCCCTGTTATGAGTCAGTGGTACCCAGGAACAGGGTGGCAGCAGAGGTGTTGAGCAGGGCAAGGACAAGGAAGTCTTCAGGGTTTAAGACCAGCGGTGCCCACTGGGGAGTGGAAGTGGGAAGTGCACGAAGAGAGCCTCCCGTTGTGGCACAAAGCTCAGCGTCCTTTCCTGATGGAGAAGCGAAGGGGAGTTTGGACTCCGTGAGCCTCGGGCCCTGAGAGCTGCTCTCCCGCCAGCTCCTTCCCCATGCTGCCTCCCCAATGGTTGCCTGAGTGTATGCCAGCCTTGTGCCAGTGAGCAGGCGGGCTTCACTCACACTTCGTCGTGTAATGCACCGACACGGTGCGCAGGCATTAGCGATGCTGTAGTGCAGGGCTGAGTGACACACTCGAGGTCACCGAGGGCTAACTGCAGTGTCAGAATTCCAACCCCGGTTCCTTGACTCAGTCTTTGTTGTTTTCTTCACTCCATGCTGCAGAGAGGGAGTTCATTTTTATTGTAGCATCTACATTGCTTTGCTTGTATATAATTCTATCTTTTAAATTCTAATGTCTTTGTTTTCTTTTTTGTTAATTAAAAACAGCTTATCTTTTTTTTTTTGGTACCAGGGATCAAGCTGGAAAAATGTTTTATCTTGACAGGTGATTTTGGGTGAATTTGTATTATGGAGTGGCTGGACCCAGCTTGTTAGCATATGTGTCACCTCTTGGAGTTGTCATTTTTGGACAGGAGTGCTTAGCATCCACTTTCTTTACATTTTTCAAGAATATTCTACATTGTCATTAATTATGGCTATGTTGTTGTTCAAGTGAGCTCTTGAAACTTGTCCCTATTAACTGTAGTCATGTGTTTTTGTTTCTTGGGTCAAAGTCCTATGCTTTTTTAACATAGTTTATTTCTCTCCTTTTTTTTTTTTTTTTTTTTTTTTAAAGTCAGAAGTGCAGCTTTTGTTGAGAACAGGATTGGTGTCCTGGAGCCTGAGGCTGTCCGCCCCTCTGGCCCCCTCCTCTCTGTCCCTTTCGTGTAGACTTTCCCTCTGCCCTGAGTACACTGCCATGGTCAAGAGCGAGGGACATGGTCTCTGAGCTCTGCCTGGAGCTGGGCCTAGAGGGGAGGAAGCAAGCGTGGGCAAGGTGGAGGGTGGAGTTTACAAGCTTTGTGGTCGCAGTGGGCGGCGCTTTTGTGTGGGAACAGAGCCATATTCAGCTGACTGTGGATGGGCTGTTTGTTTCTGAGGAGGTGGGCCGAATTCTTCGGTTCTCTTGGCTCCGATCCTTCCTTCCATACTTAGGGAGACTAGGTGCATTGTTTAAGATTTCCTGTGTATTTCATTCAGGTGCTTCAGGAGTATGTGGTTACTTCCTAGTGGTTCTGATCAGAATCATTTGAGTTGAAATAGGAACTGGTGGAGATGTTTTTCTAGAGTTACAGCTACCTATGAAATGTGTTTTGGCATTTTAGGAACAGAAAAATGTATCGAATTTGAGAGGGAAGAGGTAGTTAGAACGCCATCTGGCAAGCTGAGCAGAATGAGCTTTTCTGCAGTGAGAAGATCCTGTTGATCTGTAGCCCACATAACTGATTGGGCTTATGGAGCAGGCTTTGCACTGAGGTGCTTGCAGGCTGCTCTTACTGAAGGCTGTTGGCCGTTGCCAGCCGTCATTCCCTTCATAAATCTTTACAAACTAGAGATTTAGGCTGGCTCAGCTGCTGAGTAGTCTGTCCAGCTCAGGCCCCATGTGGACGCCAATCTCTGCCACCATCATCCACAACTATTTACTAAATCCTAATCGCATGCTGGTGTGGTAGTTGTTGCTAGTGTTTTATGGTAACCGTTCATAGTGAACTTCAAGTAAAATAGAGCTGCATTTGCCTTCTTCGCAGGTTCTGATAGTTGGTGGCGGCGTTGCTGGGCTTGCCTCTGCAGGTGCTGCAAAATCCATGGGTGCGATCGTTCGAGGGTTTGATACGAGGTAGGTGATTTTCTGCTGGATGATGCTTTTCGGTCTGTGGGGAGGCGGGAACATCACGGTGAAAGGGCGTTGTGGAGCGCAGCTGCTTACCTGGTGGCAGGTAGGGAGGAGGCCCAGGAAGACAGAGAGAACGGGAGAGGAAGGAAAGGGGCTGGGGTCCAGACAGTGCAGTCTTCTAGAGCGTCCTCCTGGAGGGGAGGCGACTTCCTCCAGCTAGGCCCTTCCTCCGGGGCGCCGCCACCTGTACTAGCTCCCTCGGCACGTGTGAATGCCTCAGTAGCCAGCTCCCTAGAGGGAGTCCCCTGCTGTGATGGGGGCTGACCGGGCTTCTGTGCGTGAGCCTGGGGGCTGTCCAGGAGCTAGGCTGTCGTGGATGTGAAGATCCTTAGGATGCGTTAACTGTAGGCTGGAGCTGCGCTGCAGACTCTCCAGGTGATAACGTTCTAGGTTTTGAAGGGTATCTCTGGGCAACTGTGCGGGCCCAGCCTCGGTGCAGTGGAGGTGTGGGGAGAAGCACAGACTGACAGCTCACAGCTCCGCTCTGCGTGTCTGGCTGTGCTGTGTCGCCGGTGGCCAGCGCGGGCTGCCTCTGCTCGGGCTCTGCTGTGGCCCCTGGTCTTCAGGGTGGTGCTGGCGCTCACTGCTCGGGGACTCCAAGGGAGGCATGGGTCATCTCAGTGTGACGCGGACCAGGGCTGGGCCCCGCTCTCCAAGCACTTTCACCCAGTGCAGTGTGTGTTCCGCTCTCCAAGCACTTTCACCCAGTGCAGCGTGTGTTATTGTTGCCTTATTTTTTTAAAGATGCTGACTTTGAATTTAAAGCAAGACAAATATCATTGATAGTTTTAGAATCCCTGGTGAAAATACTTTTTTGTATTTCTTTAAAGCAGATATATAAACATTAAAAAAAATCTTTTATTGAACAGCAGTTTATCAGTTAGTAGGCTTTTATCTTCCTAGAGTT